CCCCAAAACCCCAAAACCCCAAAACCCCAAAACCCCTGCAACTCTTATTCATCTTGAAATTATTTAGTATGGTCTATTCAAGGTCAACTTCTGATAGAGGCATGTTCAGATTCGCAGTGATCAAAGGCATAGAAGACTCATGATTGTAGATAAACACTCTGATCAGATCAGCTGCACCGTTCTCATCAATATTCTCCACAAGGATCTCTTGGTTGTAATTAATTTGAGGGAGTAAAGTCATTGGCTTATGAAATCCCTTTGAAATTACTTTATAAATATCAGTCGCATATGACAACATAACTCTTGTTCCAACCATTGATTTCTTGGATAAGTTTTGAAGTTCTAGCTTTATTTTGAAGATTGGCCCGATTCCTTCAGTTGTTGCGTTAAGTCTCAGTTTCGAACCTTGAGCATATGACATTGGAGCATGTCCTTCATTTAGTAATGAGATGTAACTTTGAGCTGTCTTTAACCTCAGTTTTCATAAATCCTTCTGGAACAGTCTATGCATATCGACTGAATGGTCTCTTTCTCTTTGAGTTAGTTCCACAAATAATTTAATTTTAAGAGGAATATCTTGTTTGATTGAAGGCCCTGGTTTATGATTCGATACAGACAAATTTGCTTGTCTCTGCAACATTTTCACAGAGAGACCACCATGCTTGAAGTTGATAACCAGGGATCCTTCTTCTCTTCCAAATACTCCAAATCTCATTCCCATTATTACATCATCAGTTTTAATTGTTGTAATGAGGAATTTGTTGTTAAACATTCTAATTTCTCCATTCGAAAGGGCAACGAGAGCTGCGTTAACTGATTTAGTCCTCTTCATGATCATCTTCTCTATATTTGTTATTGTTCAAGGCATGTAAATGCTATAGTTCTTCTTTCCTTTTCCATAATAAGAGGACACCACATTGTTCATGCTAGCCACCACAATAGATTTATCAATGTAGACCATGCCGACCGGCTTGGACTCTATATCATAAACTTGGTTGGAGAGGAGGCCATTCTTCACCACATAAATCTTGCCATCCCGGCAAGCAATGAAGATCTTGCCATCGATGTCATAGAGACCATAGGTCTCTATGAAAACTCCCACGCTGGGGAGTTTAATAGACTTCTTGATTTTTATTCCCGACTGCTCCATGATAATTAGCTCCCGATTTTCATTACAAACAATGAGGTGGGAAACAGACTTCACATCTTCCTTGTTCTTGTTCATTGTTTTCATACAAGTAAGATAATTAGACTGGAACAGGGGCTTGCCAGCCCTGTCCATTCAATATTTAGCTTGCTCTTCCAAACTCTCAAGAGCAAGAAGTTCGACAGATTGCGTTCATAGATCTATAAAAATTACTTAAAGGGCTTGCCTTTGCCTGAATCTCTCTGTGAGTTGAGTTGATCAACCCCCTGTTCAGTAGTGATCTCCTGGCTTTGCATTTTTCTCCATATTTCTTGCTCTTCTTCTTCAATGGCGATCGGCGGAAAAATGTATAAGTAATATTGCCTGTATTTGTGATAGAGCATAATCTTGTCATCAGCAGCAATAGCAATGATAGGCATCATTGGTTTATTTATTATTCTCATAAAAAGTCTCTACGGCAATCGGCCTAGTTATGAGATTATCTTGAAATAGGATATTCGTACCCTGATAAATCTTAATTATGTTGTCCTTATCAGCCAAAATCAATTTATTATCTCCATCATCGTTTAGGTCAGAAAGAAGCATTGTCTGAGAATATCAGTGGACTCCGGCTATAGGGTCACTCCAAGCATGAAGCCATGGGTTCTTCTTGATTTGGGACTTATCTTTGAGCTTAGATTCTTCTTGTTTAGAGCTCTCCATGATTTAAAAATTATTAGGTTTGTATTTTAAGTTGGGGTTTTGGGGTTTTGGGGTTTTGGGG